CCTGTTGATTCCTCTTCCCTGTGTCCTTCCCACCCATATACCACCCCCAGCTGTCTCCCTGTGCAAACACTGCACTTCTGTTCTTCCATGATTGATTGTTCCATGTAGTGTACCTACTTGATGCAAATGTTCACTCCATATGCCTGTCGTTTGGCTGGAAGCCACAAGAATGAGTTCGATTCCAGACTGAAGGGTAGCTAGGGGCCATAGTCTCAGGAGTCTCACTAGGCTCTATCAGACCAGCAAACCTGTTTTTTTTTTGATGATTTTGAATTTTGTTCTACATTGTTCTCCCACTCTATTCAGGATCTCCTGCAACGATCCTCCTCCAAGTGGTTGACAGTGGTCGCTGGCCACCATCTAGTTCTTCTGGTTTCATGTTCATATACGCTGAGGATCTCATGGTGTACCAGTCCCTTTAGGGATGTTTTGGGATCTGAGGTTTTGTGAAGCAGTGAAATGGAGTCTATCTTCTGGGTAACACATACCTGGGTCACTGTAAAGATTGTCTTTGATTTTTTAGCAAAGAAAATGGCAAAGGGCTATTGTGAGTTTTTAGTGAAGCTGGTGGAAAGAAGGAAGGAATGGAGATACAGATTTTTCACTTGTCAGAAGGTATGCATTTGGATAGTGCCTCTTTTGCCTCTGGATGACTGACTGTCTCTTTGAGACATGTTTTTCTTATGTTGAAAATGGGGACATTAATAACATACTAATGGATTTTTGTGAGGGCTGAATGAAGTAACGGATGGGGAAGTATTTTGTCAAGCATAAGGGGATGTACAGATGCAAGTCACTGGGTTTAGAAAGATGGTAATTATTAATGTTCCACTCACACACAGGATCAGTCCATCCAGCCCTAGGGACATGATGAATGGTTTTGCTTAGTTATCTGTTGTGTTTCTTCCTACAGGCCAGTGGCAGGTGATTGCACCAGACCCCCTTGTCAAGGCCTCAGTAGGGGAGGACATAATGTTCTCCTGCTTCCTTTCTCCTGAGATGAGTGCAGAGGCCATGGAGGTGCGGTTCTTCAGGAATCAGTTCTCTGCTGTGGTCCATATGTACAGGGATGGGAGAGACCAGACATATATGCAGATGCCAGCCTATCGAGGGAGAACTGAGTTCATGAAGGACTTCATTGCAAAGGGACATGTATCCTTGAAGCTGAAAAACATCACTTCCTTGGATGCTGGCATGCATGGGTGCTGGTTCAGTTCTCAGACTTACTATCAGGTAGCCATATGGGATCTGCAAGTGTCAGGTCAGTTGATTTCTTTTATATTTGTTTCAAAATGATATATTATTTTGTTAAGGTGAAAGTTTACACAGCAAATTAGGCTCCCCTTTAAAATTTTTTATAAAAATTGTTCCATGCCATTGGTTGTAATTTTTACATTCTCATTATTTCCATTCTGTTTGTTCTGTTTCCCCTCCTTGCCTTGTCATCTTTGATTTTGGGTAAATGTTGACCATTGGGAGTTATTGTTTATTGTATAAGTCAATTTATTATTTGGTTGAAAGGTAACCTGCAGAAATAGCTTCAATTCTGACTTCGAAGGGTATTTTAGGGTACTAGTCTCCAGCATTCCTCTATATTCTATTGATCAAATAAGTCTGACCATTTTTAGGAATTTGAATTTTGTTCTCCATTTCTCTCCCATTCTATCTGGGACCTCCTAATGTATTCCATTCTGATGATTGGTAGTGGTAGCCAGGCACCATATATAATTCTTCTGGTCTCAGGGTGGTGGTTCATGTGGGTTATTAGTCCCACAGACTAGTTGCTTTTTTGAGCATTTGATTTTCCTCATTCTCATTTGCTCCACATGAGTAGATATCAATACTGCACATGTTATAATATTTACCAAAGTTATCCTTTTTTGTCATGTACTACTTAGTGTCTTTATTTACCTTGGACTAGTTGTGCTCACTTCACTCATATTTGGGATTGCCTTTCCCCTCACCAAAAGAACAAGTGTCTACTATCTAGAGAGTGATTCCTTTTTCTTTTCCCTCCCATTCGCTCCTATCAAAGAACTTTGCTTTCTGTGTGTATATCTATTCTTGGCTGTTTATAATTGTGAGACCATACAATAGATGTCTTTTTGTGATTGACTTATTTAACTCAGCATAATCTCCTCCAGGTTCATCCATGTTATGTTTCTTTCTTTCTTTTCTTTTTCTCTTAACAACTTCTACATTTACAGCTCAGGGATACTGATGATATTTTCATGTTGTGTCACTATTAGTGCTATCCTTTTCCAAAATATTCCACCACTATTTGCATGATTGTCCATTAGCATAATAAACCCCCAAATGAAAGCTTCCCCTTTCCCCCTCCCTTCTACCCCTGGAAACCAATAATAATCCTTGATATATATATATTGTTTTTCAACCTATCTAGGAATTTTCCTTCCCCTCCCTTCCTTTCTCTGGTAACCAACAAAGTTTCCTTCTGTGTATAAACCTTTCCTTGACTTTTTACAATAGTGGATGAATACAATATTTGTCCTTCCATGACTGACTTATTTCACTAAGCATAATGTCCTTTAGGTTCATCCATATTATGCATTGTTTTGCAGATTCTACATTATGCTTCAGGGTTGCATAATATTCTATTGTGTGTATGTACCACAGTTTGTTTATCCATTCCTTGGCTTATGGGCACGTAGGTGGTTTCTATCTCTTTGCTGTTATGAATATGCTGTGATGAACATGGGTGTACATATATCTATTTTTGTCCTGCCTCTCACTTCTTTAGGGCATATACCTAGTAATGAGATTACTGGATCAAATGGTATTTCTGTTTCCAACTTTTTAAGGAATCACCATATCGATTTCTACAGTAGTTGTACCCACCAGCATTTGTTATTTTCTGTCTTCTTGAACTTTGCTATTAATATTGGGGTGAGATGGTATCTCATGGTTACCAACTTCTCAACCTCATCATCCAGCAGCTATCTGAGTGAAGAAACGCCTCTAGCTCCAGTGGGCCTGGAGCAGGAGGCAGAGCTGGACCCCAAGGTTGAGAGGCTTTCAACCAGCCCCTAGAGTTTTGAACTTGGACTTAAAGCCTCCAAATTGTAAGAATAAATTCCTGTTTGTTAAGGCTATCCTATTTGTGGTATATTCTTATCAGAGTGGCACTAGGTAACCAGAATATACTTTATCTTGCTTCTTTGTGTAGTGTGATGGTCTGTTGTCTCAATGTCTGTTTGTGACATTGTTGTACTTAGATCTCTGTTAACTTCCCAGTTATTGGCATCCAGAATGTCCCTGTGGTTCTTGGCAAGTGGAGCCTATTCTTAAGTCCCTGGAATCTGGGAGAATGCTATTGCTTTAAATATCCAAAATGGTTGAACCACTTGTAAACAGTCAAAATGGCTCACCCTCTGGACAGGTAAAAGTCTACATTTCAACCCACCTTCCCCTTTGCTGCTTCTCCTTTTATTCACCAGCCACCAGTGCAGTCCTCCTTGCAGCCCCTGACTAGCAGGGCCAATTTTTAGGTTAATTCCTAGGTTCTAACACCACTCAGCAAAATCCAAGCTGTCCGTGCCCTCAAGATCACTGCCAGACTGCAGCTCTGTATGTCTCTTTTTTTGGTGTTTTCATGCAACTTCTTCTACTAGTTGAAGTTTACTCCACTTCTATATCCTTCCCTTCAAAGCTCAGGGGTCCAGGATTATCTTCTGTGTCTGTGTTAATTGATTCTCTTTTTCTTTGTTGAAGAGGGTCTGTGCAATCTGTCTGCCTATTCTGCCATCTTACCAGAACCTCTTACTTTCTGATACATTTTTATGATAGCCTTTTTAAAGTGTTTTTTTTTTTTTTTTTTTCAGGAAAGTACAGTCTTATCAGTTGATTGGCTGTTCTCATTCAGGTTGATACTTCCTGGTTCTTGGTACAAAGGGTAATTTTTTTCATTGAAAGCTGGAAATGTTTGCTATTATATTAGAAAAATCAAGAACCTATTTAAAACTTCTATTTTAAGAGGCCACCACTCTGTTTATGTTTAGCAGGTCCTCATCTGCTTTTGCCAGTTGTGGTCCCCAACATTTAATTTTCAGAGCTGTTGCAGTGCTATTTTAATTTCCTTCATTACTTTGCTGCTTCTGGGGCTTTCACTGATCTTTTGTGGTACTGCCTGCAGGGATAGAAGGTACTTCCTAGGTCAAACTCCTTGTTTCTCTAGGTGAATCAGGGGACTCTTGCCTAAAGGGACAAGGAACTCTTCCCCAAGCCTCTTGTCAATGAGGCTCCTGATCAATCTTTTTGTGGCTATTATTGAGACCACCTGGTATTATGAGTAATCTGAAGCAGAAGTGAGTTTACCTGGGTCACCTTCTATTGCTAGGTGGTGTGGGCATCATACAATTCTTGGTTGTTGTATTGTTTTTTGAGCCCTAGAGACTCTAGCCAGTCCATCTTTCTCTTCTTCTTCTTCTTTTTTTTTAATCTTTCAGAATTCTCTTATGCTACATGTGTTATTTTCAGGGTTTATATCTCTGGTGGCATAGTGCCTAAAGTATTTAACTGCTAACCAGAAGGCTGGCGGTTCATACCCATCTGCCACTCCTTGGAAGGAAGATTGGGCAATCTACTTCCTTAGAGATAGTGCCTAGGAAACCCAAGAAGGGGTTGCTATGAGTTGGGATTGACTTGATGGCAGTGAGATTTTTTTTTTTTCAAGAGAAAAGAGTATCAAGAGATGAATCTATATCATCTTATCAAGAATCCATTCCTTTGTGCTTATGTCAACATTCTTTCATTCATTTATTCATTCAAGAAACATTTATTAGGTTCCATGCTCAAGTCTAAACCCTGGGGAAAGGCAGAGCACAACATATACTGGATCAGCTATATTTGGGGTGGGAGATGGGTAACAACAACTGACGATGTATAGATTATCTCTGTAATGGGTGCTCTCCTCAGCCTACCAAGTCATAAGTCTGGAGGTATGGCTTAGCCTTTCCTCAACCTCCTGTAAATCCTATTGGATCAACCTCACAAAAAGCTCCTGCATCTGTTCTCTCTCCTTATAGATTCCTTCTGCTCCAGCCTTTATTTTCTCTCACTACAGTGAATTCAGTTACCACCTGAATCACAGTTCTGCTCCTGAGTGGTCCTTGTGATCCCTCCTCTATACAGCTGCTTTGAGGCACTCCACAAGACAGGCCTGGTCATAACTCATTCCCACCAGTGGAAGCCAGTCAACAGCCTTACAGGCTACAGTGCCTTTAGTGCCTAAAGAGGCAATGGTCCACACCTATTAGGTCAATGCACTCACAATCTCCATAGTCTGACTCTGCATCTCACTCAGACCTCATCTCATATTTGTCCTTTCTTGCATGTCACAGTCCAGAAACACCAAATGCTCATGCGTCCTTGAACACAACACAGCCTGGCAATGTCCTACACCATGGTATACACTTAATCCTCTGCCTGGCATGCTTCTCTCCCTCTCCCATTTGTCCATCTATTAATGTGACGCAGCATGTGTACAAATGCCATCTGTGACTTCTTACAATTAATTACTCCTTTGTTACAATTTTCACAATGGAATGTATTTGTTTACACTTATCTCCCTGTCCAGTCAGTGAATGCCTCATTATATGGGACTCTATCTAATTCACTTCATTATGTTTAGTGTTTAGGTAACCATTGCTAAATAAATGTTGACTAAACAAAGACAATGGAAAATTTAGAGCAGTAAATGATAAGTACACTTATGTGAAAGACAATGAGGAAGAGATAGAGAAAGAGTGAGAGAGGGCAAGGAGAAGAGAAGAGGGAAGAGAGTTGAGAAAGAGGAAACTAAAGAAAGGAGTAAGAAAGAGAAAACAAGAGAGAGTGAGAGCTATAGCATTTGGTGCAGAACAACTGTGGCATTTGGATGTGATCTTTGTTTTCATTGTAGTTCTGTTTTCTCCCCAGGTCTGGGCTCAACTCCTCTTGTCTCTCTCATGGGATATGTCGATGGAGGAATCCAGCTACTCTGCCAGTCCTCAGGATGGCTTCCCCAGCCCACAGTGAAGTGGAAAGGTTCACAGGGTCAGGATTTGCCCTCAGAGTCCAAAATAACTGTGGACAGGCATGGCATGTTTTCTGTGGAGACTTCCTTTACTGTAAAAGAAAATGCTGGAAGCATATCATGTTCCATTCAGCACACTGACCAGAGTCAAGAGGTACAATCCAGTGTATTGATAGGAGGTAAGTGAAGAGGAGAAATGTGTGAGGGCTTGGGTAACCCAGAGGAAGAACTAGAGTCTCTATATTGGCATTGTTGTTTAGTATTGCCCAGCTTTATTGATTTATTTTGAAAACCAAAGGTCAATGAGGTATGAAAACAAAATAATAAATAATGATTATGTGGAAATAGAACTGCTTACAATTCCAGAAGCATATAATCATTTCCTTCTCCATGTGAAGGTTCTCATGGTGCCCCTCCAAATTCAGCACATATAAAAACTTAAATAAAACTGACTCTAGGTCCAAGAAAAATAATATGGCTTACCCATTTTTTTAAGCAAACATATTGAATAATTGCTCTATGAAACAGAATATAATAAAAAATATAGATAATTTCAGGAAGGATGAGAAAATAATAGGATAAATAATATAAACCCAAATATGTCACAGATCACAATGTAAAATGACTTAATCTGCCAGTTCAAAGACAAAGAATGTCAGATTGAATTGAAAAAGTCCCCAACTGTTGCAACTCACAAAAGAAAATGCAAATTCTGTGAGCTATTCACTGAAAATAAGAAAATAGTAAAAGACCTACCAGACAAATATTAACCAAAGCAGAACTATTAGATATATTAGTGTCAAGAAAAGAAAAAAAAAAAATGTTTTAGGAAAAAAGTGCTATTAGAAATGGAGTTATTTAATAGTTTTAAAAAGAAATTGTTATTTTTGTTGTTGTTGTTTTATGCCGTGGAGTTGGACCTGACCCATAGCAACCCCTCCTTGGGTTTCTGAGGTGGTATCACTATGGAAGTAGATTGTCCAACCTTCCTTCTGAGGAGTGGAAGGTGGGTTTGAACCACCAGCCTTCTGGTTAGCAGTCTAGTGCCTTAGGCACTACGCTATAGGACCTCCTAAATAAAAGAAATTAATAGGAAAATATAAAATTTCATATATATAAAAGCAAACTCAATGTTCACATTAGACATGAAAAAGCTGAAAATTTATCTACTAGGTGTCCATGTTTATTTCAGAGCAAACTGAAAGAGAACAGAAAGATGCAAACCATAAAGAGAAGAATTTACAGAAATAAAAAGATAACACAGGTAAACAAAGTTAAAATTAGGTGTTCAAAGTACTATTGGCAACATCAGTCAAAATTAAAAGAGAGATGCAACAATTGAATAGCATGGAAAATCAGAAAGGGCAGAACAAAAATTCAGAAAATACTTAAACGACAAACTGTTTTGAATAAATTTATACTATTGTATTTGAGAGTGATGAAATTAAACTTTCCAGAAATAGATAAAATACAATATCTGACTCAAGTAAAAATAGACTGTTTAGTTCTGTCAGCATGAAGGAAACTAAATCAGCATTTAAAAGTCTTCCCACAAATAAGACACAAGGGCCATAATATTTTCATGCAAAATCTACAAAACATTCACAGAAACAGAAAATTTCAATCTTCCATCAAGTCTTTCAGAAAATACAAAAATATGAAATATTTACTCATTTTGTTAAGTTAACATAGTTTTGATACCAAAAGAGACCAACAACAATAAAAACAAACAAACAAACAAACAAAAAAACACCTCACTGCTATCAACTCGGATCCAACTCATAGCGACTCCTCCTTGGGTTTCCAAGGCGGTATCACTACAGAAGTATATTGCTCAACCTTCTTTCTGAGGAGTGGCTGGTAGGTTCCACCAGCCTTCTGGTTAGCAGTCAAATGTCTTAGGCACTATGCTACCAGAGCTCCCAAAGAGACCAAGGCAGTTTGAAAATGGAAAATTAGGTCAACCTTACTCAGAAATATAAATATGATAGTCTTAATCAGAAACATTGCAATTCCAAATCAAAAGTATGTAAAAAACATAATACATCATGACAGAATTTAACATATCCTGGATGGAAGGTTAGTTCAATTTTGTAATATATATTAATGTAATTATTACCTTAATAAATTAAAGGAGATAAACTTTAAACTTAACATGTAAATAAGACACATTTGAACATCTATTTATAACTTAAAACTTCTGAATTCTGAATTAGGAGACAACTTCTTATGAATCTGTAAAGAAAAGATGACTGCCTTAATATTGTAAAAATGTATCTAAATGTACCCACCACAAGCATAATATGTAATGATGTATCATTTAAACTTCAAATGCCAACAGCAAAAATCAAACATAATGATACATTATTTAAAATAAGACATATAATGCAGATGACTGTGTTAAATATTTTTATTTAACATTACATTAGAGTACTAGCCATTGCAATAAGGGAAGAAAATGAAAAAGAGTTATAACTTTTAGAGAGGAAGAAATACAGTGGTCATTATTCACAGCTTACATGATGATATACACTGAAAATCCCAAAACTCTATAGGCTAATTCATTCCTTACCTTTGTCCCTTCTTCCCCGCTTCCTTCTTTTCTTTCCTTCCATTTCTGTTGTGGTAAATATGTATATAACACAGCAATTGCCATTTGAACATTCTTCACATATACAATTCAGTGACATTATGTTCATCATGTTGTGCAACCATCTCATTATCTGTTTCCAAATTTTTCCATCACCCTTAACAGAATCTCAGGTTGGTAAGCAATGAGTCCCCCTTTCCTGCTCACCCATACTAACCACTAATAAAAGTATAGAGCTGTATGTTGTTGTTGTTGTTAGGTACTGTTGAGTCATCTTCAACTCATAGAGACCCTATGCACAGCAGAATGAAACACCGCCTGGTCCCTCACCAGCTCCACGATCCCTGGTACACTTGAACCCATAGCTGTAGCCACTGTGTCAATCCATCTGGTTGAGGGCCTTCCCTTCTTTTGTCGACCCTCCACCTTACCAAGTATGACATCCTTCTCCAGGGAATGGTCCCTTCTGATAACATGATCATAGTAGGTGAGATGAAGTCTGGCCGTTCTCCCTTCCAAGGAACATCCTGGCTGCATTTCCTCAAGGACAGATTTGTTATTTCTTTTAGCAGTCCATGGTACTTTCAGCATTCTTTGCCAACACCACAACTCAAAATCACCAATTCTTCTTCGGTCTGTATGTTGTTGTTGCTGTTAGGTGCTGATGCACTCCCTTCTTGACACAAACCTGATGCACTCCCTTCTTGACTCTAAACCATGCAGTGTGCCCTTGTATAGATCTGTATATAATTTTCTATTCTAGATATTTCATTTTAGTGGAATTACATAATATTTGTCATTTAGTGATTTATTTCACTCAGCATGATGTTTTCAAGGTTTATTCATGTTGTACCACATATCAGGACTTCATTTTTCTTTATGACTGAGTAATATTCTATTCTATATATGTATGACTTTTTGTTTATCCATTCATCTCTTTGTGAACATTTTGGTTGTTTCCATATTTTGGCTATTGTGACTAGTGCAGCAATGAACATGTATATATGTATTTTTTTGTGCTCCTTCTTTCAGTTCTTTTGGGTATATAACTAGAAATAGAATTACTATATAGGAGCTCTGGTAGTATAGTGCCTAAGGCACTCTTTGAGAGCTCTGGTAGTATAGTGGCTAAGACACTTGACTGCTAACGAGAAGGCTGGTGGTTCAAACCCACCAGCCACTCCTCGGAAGGAAGATGGGGCAATCTACTTCCGTAGTGATACTGCCTCGGAAACCCAAGGTGGGGTCGCTATGAGTCGGGTCCAACTCGACGGCACATAACAACAACAACAACAACATGGTGATTCTATGTTTAAGTTGTTGAGAAACCACCAGACTGATTTTTATAGCAGCTGTGCCATTTTATAATCTAACAGCAATGGATGAGTGTTCCAATTTCTCCATATCCTGCTCAGCATCTATTTTTTTTTTTTTTAAAGTGATAACCATCTTAGTGCATGTGAAGTGACATCTCATTGTGGTTTTGATTTTGTATTTCCCTAATGACTAATGATGTTGAGCATCTTTTCATGTGCTTATTGGTCATTTGTATTTCTTCTTTGGTGAAATGTCTATTTAGATTTGTGTCTATTTTTAAAATTGGATGTTGTGTCTTTTTGTTCTTAACTTACAGGATTCTTTACATAATCTAGATATTAAACTCTTGTCCTAAAAAGATTCTTGTCCAATCTGTAGAATGTCTCTTCACTTTGTTGCTAAAGCCCTTAAGTGAACAAAATTTTAAATTTTGATGAGGTCACATTTATTTATTTTGGCTCTTGTTTCTCATGCTTTCAGTGTCATATCAAAGAATCCATTGTTGCTAGATCCAGAATCATTATCCCAATGTTTTCTTCTAAGAGTTCTATGGTTTTATATCTTAAATTTATGTCTTTAATCCATTTTGAGTTTTCATATCTTGTATGATGTATGGGTTCAGGTTCATTCTTTTGTTTGGAGAAATCCAGTTGTCCCAGCACCATTTATTGAAAAGGCTATACTTTCCCTATTGGATGGATTTAGCATGCTGTGGAAGATCAGCTGATCATAGATTGTGATTTTACTTCTAGACTCTCAATTCTATTCCATTGGTTTATATGTTTATTGTTATACCAAGAACAGATTGTTTTGATTCTTATAGCTTTATAACTAGTGTGTTGAGATCATGAAGTATGGTCCTCTTCCTTTCTTCTTCTTTTTCAAGATTACTTTGACTGTTTGAGCTCTCATAAATTTGACAATTGGCTTTTTCATTCCTGCAAAAAAGGCTGTTAGAATTTTGTTGGGCATTGTGTTGAATATATAGATTTCTTTAGGTAATATTAATATCTTAACAATGAACTATCCATGTGAAATGTCCTTCCATTTATTTAGATCTTTAATTTCTCTAAATAATGTTTTATAGTTTTTGGTGTACAATTCTTTCATCTCCCTGGTTAAATTTATTCCTAGATACTTCATTCTTTTTTTTTTTTTTGGTGCCACAACCTGGGAATAAACTAGGTACTTTGTTCTTTTAAAATTGTAAATGGAACTGTTTCTTATCTTTTTCCAGATTTTTTATTACATATGTATAAGAACCCAAGAGAT